CCTCCCCCCTTCAAACCCACCCAACCCCCCATCCTCCTCCCCTTCTCCCACCAACGCCCAACCTCCTCCCCGGCACCCAACCCCCTCTCACCCCAGTCACGTCCACCCCCCCGCCCCCTTCTAACCCACCAACGCCCCAACCTCCTTCCCCCCTTCTAACCCACCCAGCCCCCTCTCACCCCAGGTCACGGCAGTCCACCCCCACCCAACCCCCAACCTCCTCCCCCCTTCTAACCCACCCAACCCCCCAACCTCCTCCCCCTTCTAACCCACCCAACCCCTCTCACCCAGGTCACGGCAGTCCACCCCCACCCAACCCCCCAACCTCCTCCCCCTTCTAACCCACCAACCGGGTCTCACCCCATCACGGCAGTCCACCCCCACCCAACCCCAACCTCCTCCCCCTTCTAACCCACCCAACCCCCTCTCACCCCAGGTCACGGCAGTCCACCTCTACCCGGCGTACGAGGCAGCGCCCAGACCCTCCGCGACCTCGCCTCGTCAGACTGGAGAAGCCGGTGCTGTTCTCCCGAAAGCTGGTTCCCGCGTGCGTCCTAACGGGGTCTTTCCCGAGGCACGACGTGGCCGCGGTGAGTGACGGGGGCTGGGAGGGGGAGGGGGGCTGCGAGGAGTGGGGGTTGATATGGGGGAGCGGGAGAAGGGGGTTGATATGGGAGGAGAGGGAGAAGGGGGGCTGTTATGGGTGAGGGGGAGAAGGGGGCTGTTATGGGGGGAGGGAGAGAAGGGAGCTGACAGGGAGGGGGAGAAGGGGCTGATAGGGGGGAGGGGTGAAGGGAGCTGATAGGGAGAGGGGAAGAAGGGGGCTGATAGGGGAGGGGGAGAAGGGGCTGAAATGAGGTTGTGGGAGAAGGGGGCTGTTATGGGGGAGAAGGGGAAGGGGGAAGATATAAACACTACCTTTATTATCATCATTATCATTATGAATATTGTTATTATCAAGTTGAGCATCGTCATCATCATAACAATAATGATAATGGTGATAATGATCAAGGTACATAAAAAACAGGTAGCACCACTTCCATTTAGCCCATAGAACATAAGGAACTTTTTATACAAGAGTTCTTAAGCTCATATCAATGCACTGTGATGATGTCGTCAACCTTTAAGTACGTATAAAGCAGTAACAGCAGCAGAGACTTAAACGCCCGGATCCCCTTTCCAGACCTTCAACCGCACGGTCGCTCGCTACAGATGGGAGATGATCCTCCAGCAGCATGATCCGCGATGCCACTCGCCCCACGACCGCTGTGCCACGGCGCTCACGGTCGACAGAGACCAGTTCTGTGGCATTGACAGAGGTGGGAACAGGCGTGTGTGTGTGTGAAGAGAGAGAGAGACAGATTGAGTGATTGTGTGTGTGTGTGTGTGTGTGTGTGTGTGTGTGTGTGTGTGTGTGTGTGTGTGTGTTGTGTGTGTGTGTGTGTGTGTGAGAGAGAGAGAGAGAGAGAGAGAGAGAGTTGACGGGTGTGAGTTTGTGCAGAGATAGAGATATTTAAGCATACAACATATTTATGTATGTATAGACAGAGGGAGATACCGAGAAACAGTAAATACAACAGAAACACTTTCCTTGCCCAGAATACCAGAGGTACCTGCCGCAGGGTTCCTCCGGCGGCCCCTACCTCGTGAATCTGGGCACCGACGCAGACGAGAAGTGGACGGTGGTTGGCGTCGTGTCCTCCTCCTACGGCGAGGCCTCCTGCAGCCGACCGTACACCATCTTCACTGCCGTAGGGAATTACTGGCCGTGGATCGAGCGATGTGTCTATCTCGGAAATTGTTCCCAGCCTTTGGAGGATGATGGGGAATGAGAGGAAATTATTCTCATCTGAAAATGACTAAGAATGTTTGTGGGGTACTATTGCTCAACGCTCTTTAAAAGCCTGAAATGCAAACTTGTTCAGTAACAATTTCGAAACATTACTATGGAAATGATTGCAGATGTATTCGAAGATTCGTTTGGACGTTGGCACCCGGAAGCACGTTTCGAGACTCTGGTGTGGATACTAGAAAATCTAGAAAATACGTGTATCATGCTTCAGACATGTTAACAACAGTGTTTCTGGCAAAGTTTTACATTCACTGTGTACAAGGCCCACGGTTTCGTCCACACACGATCAAGCGGTACCATCAGACACAAATGAGAAGACGCACCATTGGCTTGTGTCAGTGGGCAAAGCAGCACAGTGCCTGAGAGAAGCCATTGCACCAGACAGTGAATATTTATGCAACGAAGTTCATATAGACCCTAAGAAGCGTTTTAGTCAGCTACTTGATTTATTTAATTGTTAAATGTCATGCCTGTTCCGCCATCAACCAAAATTCACTCGTCTAGACTCGAGATCTTTATTGTACTCCGTACTCCTTCGTCTGGAACCTCCTCGCGCTCCTGTCCCTTTCAGCACTGTCCGATCGTGTGAGCGGGTCTTAAAACGAACAAGAACAAAGTCCAACCGATGCATATATGTACATACATACATACATACATACATATATACATATATATTATATATATATATATATATATATAATATATATATATATATATATATATATATATATATATATATATATATATATATAATATAGTATATATATAATATATAATATATGTATATATATATACATATAGATACATACATACATACATACATACATACATACATACATAGAAAAATAGACAGATATTAATATATATATATATATATATATATATATATATATATATATATAATATATATATATATATATATATATATATATATATATATATATATATATATATATATATATATATATATATATATAATATATATATATATATATATATATATATATATATAATATATATATATATATATATATATATATATATATTATATTATATATATATATGTAATATATATATATATGTGTGTGTGTGTGTGTGTGTGTGTGTGTGTGTGTGTGTGTGTGTAGACGAACAAGAACAAAGTCCTCATGGATCGGGATCTGATGGCAGCGAGATTAGCCTCTTATTTCTGGGTATCTGCATGTTCCCAGAGATTAATGATCTCTGGCTCCTGGTACCAAAGCTCTGACCTGCAGTGTTGGACAATTGCAACATCCCTTCTGAACTGCTAAAGGCTGGTAGTGAACCTATGGCGCAGGGTTTGCATACTGTCCTGGCTGCCATCTGGCAGTCTGTTACCATTCCCCCTGACTTGTTGAGGAGTATAGTCATCCTACTCTTGAAGAGGAAAGGGGATCGATGGGACTGCAGCAATCACTGCTAAGCATACCAGGCAAGGGTCTCGTTCACATACTTCTGAGACGTATCAGAGACCACCTATTGAGGCAACAGAAACTGGAGCAATCTGGATTCACTCCACAACAGACCGCATCCTGGCGCTTCAAGTCACTATAGAGCGTTGAGCTACTTGCAGCCTAAATCAATCTCAAAAAGGCCTTTGACAGTGCATCGCATATCGTTTTTGCAGATCCTGAGACCGAGGGTAGTTCAACAAATATTAGATTAATAGTAAACCTATGCTGGTACTGAAAATGCTGTAAAGTGCAATCGATAACTGTCAAGCTAGCATGTTAACTCAAGAGTGAGGCAAGGCTGTGTTCTTACACCAACACTTTTCAACACTTGTATGGACTGGTAGAACTACTATCCAAAGTCGTTGTGGAGCAACACTGGGTATTGTTATAGTTACCGACCTTGACTTTGCTCATGATGTTACAATTCTACCCAAGTCTATGGAAAGCCTAGTGGCAGCTCTAGATGCATTTAACCTCTAAACCTCAAGACCCTAGGACTCGAGGTCCTGAACCAAGAGCAAGATCTAGGGCTTTGGGGGCCTGTACTATCTGTATGTGCGTGTAGCAAGAATATTAAAGTCACACCGAGTTTAACATGACTAGGTTGTCAGACCAATTGTCAGTAGATGGACTGGTCTAGCGAGAGATCATGAAATCTTTCAACAAGTGTATTTGGAGATGCTGTTACCTGTGCAGGACCAAGTTACATGTCTTCAAGGCCCTGATACTATCAGTTATACTCAATGTTAGTAAAACATGGGGCGGTATTCACAAAAAGACATACACTCAGAAATTTGTTTGTCACAGAAAAAGAAAAGCATTGACTTCCAAGATTTTGTCAATGACTATTTGAAAAAAGGCCTTTGACATCTGATTTGTATCTATCACTCAGCCAAGGGTCTGGTTTTGATGACTTTTGTAACAAGTCTTTGTGCTGGATCATGGGGTACAATTGGAAGAACATGTCCAGCCAACAGTTTTACCATTAGACTCACAAAATCCTTACAAAATGTGCAGAAACCTGATGCTGTACAATTACGAAATATATCATGTTCTTAAATTAGTCCTTTGTTTAAACAGGCTTGGAAGTTTCATTTTTGTCATAACATGTATAATGAGATTTTTTTTCACTGTAAATTTTAAGTCATGCAGTTTTATATTTGGTATCTTTGTGGAGGATTATTGTCTAACAAAAAAAGAGAAGCTTGCTTCAAACTTAATGTCCATTGAATCTTACTAGACAGTTAGCAGAGCAGTCTTTCACTCAAAGGTAGGAGAAAATAACAAATTTCACAGTTCAGTTCTGTCTGTATATGGTCCTGTGAGTTTGTTGTTGACTGATTAACTAACTGCCTGACAGACTCTCTCAGTGTGTTATCTCTATCAAAGAAAAACTTTGTTTTAATAGATATTTCAAAATTAAAACCTCACAGAACAAAGGATGCAGGGAAAGGCTGTTATCACTAGAGGGATGTTTAATTACAATGATGAATAGTATATACAAAAATGACCTTTTTTTATCATGTGATGCATACAAAAGCTTTGGGCATTCAGAGCTTTTGAGAGCGAACACAGGTTCACACAAATTTGTAAATGGAAGAGTTACATAACCATTTGAAATAAATGGACAAGGTTTGCCATTCTGCTATACTTCAAACAGCAAAATAAGAATG